CTCAAGCTTCCGCCGCGACACTTGCGCATCGGAATTTTTCCCTCGCGTCTCCCGCAGGCTTGCTCTTAGCAATGGCGGCTCCTCGCTCCGCCATCCTGACCGCGGCCGTCGTGCTCGCCTGCACCAGCCTGATGGCCGCTTTCGTGCCCTCGCCGGTCGCGTCGCGCCCGACAGCGCAGTCGCTGCCGACGGCGGCGCTCAGCGCGGTGGCGCTCGCGGCGCCCACCGCCGCCCACGCGGAGGGCTCGAGCGTGTGGATCCCGGCCCTGTCCGCCGTCGGCGCCGGCTTCGCCATCGGGCTGGCCGCCATCGGGTCCGGAGTGGGCCAGGGCATCGCCTCTGGCCGCTGCATCGACGGCATCAGCCGCCAGCCGGAGGCTCCCGGCCAGCGTGCTCCCTTAGCGTTTTTTGTTGTCCTGTTTCTTCTCTCTCGCTCTTTCTCTCACTCTATTTCTCTCTTTCTCTCGTTCCTCCTCACTCGCTCCTCAAGTACTGTGCGTATGTATTTGAGCCGGCTGGGGGTGTGGGGTGGCCCTGCCTTGGTCTTGGCCTGCAGAGAAGGGGGAAGAACGGGGCCCCCTCGTCGCCACGGCTGGACGCGGCTTGAAGAACTGGTCATCGAATCTGGCATCCTGCTGAGTTCAGGTTGCCGACGACCTGCGCGGCGTGCTCCTCCTGTCCCTCGCCTTCATGGAGTCGCTGACGATCTACGGGCTCGTCATTGCGCTGGTGCTGCTCTTTCGCACCCGCTCATCAAGTAGGTGGGGGAGGGCATCACGTGACGAGGAGGAAGGCCGTGTGAGGGTAGGGCCATTTGAAAAGAGACTCGGTTCCTCCTGCTCTGCGGCTCTCCGGCCCGCGGTGCCGCATCCAAGCCTTCGCATTGACGCCTCGATAGCCCACCCGCACATGAACGTGCTGTTTCGCTATCGGGGGCCTTTCGCCGATCTCTCGGCGATGTATCGCCGAGTCCAGCTCGATGTTTCCCCCCCCTGTGCCGGATCCCTGGTGCTTTTCGGTTCGTAACTCTGGCCTCCAGCGGCCGTTCGGGACGAAATGGGCACCCCCAGAACGCTCTCGGCGAGGTGCAGCCGCTGGAAGGTATCCCGAGGTGGCCTCCTCCGTCCTCGCTGTGCACCTCGCGCCCTCCTCTCCCCCAGCTGCTCCCCCTAGTCCTTCTCCCGCTCGGGTCCCTTCGCGGCGCCGAGCAGGCAGAGGAGGAGTAGGAGTAGGAGTAGGAGTAGGAGGAGTAGGAGGAGTAGGAGGAGGAGGAGGAGGAGGAGGAGGAGGAGGAGGAGGAGGATGACGAGGCAAGAGAGGAGGGTGGCGGTGGAGCTGCTGCTGCTGATGATGAGATGATGATGATGATGATGATGATGATGATGATGATGATGATGATGATGATGATGATGATGATGATGATGATGATGATGATGATGATGATGATGATGCTGATGCTGATGCTGATGCTGATGCTGATGATGATGATGATGATGATGTTGATGATGCTGATGCTGATGCTGATGCGATGCTGATGCTGATGCTGATGCTGATGCTGATGCTGATGCTGATGATGATGATGATGGTGATGATGGTGATGGTGATGATGACGATTCTGTTGATGATGATGATGATGATGATGATGATGATGATGCTGATGCTGAGGATGAGGATGAGGATGAGGATGAGGAAAAGGAGGAGGAGGAGGGAGAGGATGATGATGATGCTGATGATGATGCTGATGCTGATGCTGATGATGATGATGATGATGATGATGATGATGATTGTGGTGGTGGTGGTGATGATGATGATGCTGATGATGCTGATGTTGCTGATAATGATGGGTGATGATGATGATGATGATGATGATGATGATGATGATGATGATGGGTGGTGATGTGAGATTGCTGGTGATGATGTGTGATGATGATGATGCTGATGATGCTGAATGTGATGATGATGCTGCTGCTTGATGATGATGATGATGATGATGATGATGTTGGTGATACTGATTATGTGTGTGCTGCTGCTGCTGATGATGATGCTGATGATGATGAGTGTGACGATGATGATGATGATGATGATGATGATGATGATGATGATGATGATGATGATGATGATGATGATGATGATGATGATGATGATGATGATGATGATGATGATGATGATGATGATGATGATGATGATGATGATGATGATGATCCTGACGATGACCACAACGACGACGACGTTGCGGAGGAGGAGGAGGAGGAGGAGGAGGAGGAGGAGGAGG